CCGTCTGTAAGTCAAGGGTCCACTGTAATAATAATATGTGTAATGGTATCAACATAGACTCACCAGATGGATGGATGGATGGATGGATGGATGGATGGATGGGTGAGTGGAAGGAAGGAAGGAAGGAAGGAAGGAAGGAAGGACGGAAGGAAGGAAAAAGAAGATGATAGATTGATGGAAGGAAGGAAGAAAAAAAGGAGATGATGGATGGATGGATGGATGGATGGATGGATGGATGGATGGATGGATGGAAGGAAGGAAAGGAGGGAGGGAGATGATGGATAGAAGGAAGGAAGGAACAGGGGAACCCCCTTTTTTTCTCATTATACGACCACAAAGTTTTCCCACTTGCCTTCTTTGGCTGGCAGAAAGTGGGGAACCGTATGGACTTCGCAAGGCGGCGGCCCTCACTGATCTCCGGAGGGGGAAGAAATCTTTCTTAAGCTGTCGGGACCCAGCTTGATCGGGAGTCTCCTGGCCGAACGGAGACACAATCCTGGTGCTGGACGTTGGACTCGAGACCCCAGCAAGCCGGCCGCTCCTCCGACGGGGGGTCCGTGGAGGTGAGCTTTTGTTCCTCACAGATCCCCGCACGCTGGACCCCGGGAACTGGGTGAGAGAGGCTACCAAGAGGCGCGTGGGGGCTTGGCAGCTCCCTTGAATTTTCTGAAACGTGGAAGCGGGTCAGTGTTGGAAATTGCTGGATGATACACATTTCCTTTATTTATGTCCTATTGTATTCCGCTGGGTACATTTCTATCTTACACATACGCTCAAGGCAGTACATGTGGTGTTTTTTTATCCCACCCCTACTTTACAACAGCCCTGTGAGGTAGATGAGCTAGACGGAGAGTTCGCGGACCTTATTCTAAAATGGCATGAAATGACACCAAGATCTAGCCTCATTCCTGGCTGTTTAGAAAAAGCAGTATCGACAAAGTAAATGGCCTTTAGCATATTGAAATAATAGTTTATAAAACAAGTGCTGCTCATTGGCAACTTCTAAAAAACGTGGCACTTTACCTGCACGAAAACTCAACAGACTAGGCAAAGTAGACATCTTTTTCCCGGTTAGCTTTTTGGTCATAAAAAGAGAGTGTTTTCTTACAAATAAAAAGCAAGGGAGTTTTTAAAAAGGGAAACTAGAGGGCTTAGCACAGAGGCTGAATCAGCAACACAGCCAGTTGCTAAACCCAAATTTCTTTTTAGCGCCCTATGGGTCCATACTTGCGACACTGTTCCGAAGGCAGTCTTGGCTCTCCGTGTGAGCGCCCGGAGGTTCTGCTTCTTCTCCTTCGCTTCCAGGCTCTCCCACGTTGGATTTTCCTCAAAGTTCATCTCAACCTCCTTTAACGGCATCCGTTTCCTCAGGGACATCCGCGCGGCGTTCAGGTTAAGGGAGGACTTCTTTTTGAACCGATCCGGCGCCGGGCTCGCCTCCAAGTCGGATAGGATCTGGTGGTGCCGCCAGCCAGCGGTGGATCCCATGCTCTGGAACGCGGAGGTCATCTCTTCCTGCCACTGGGGCTCACCGAATGCTTTAAAAGAACATTCTCATCAATACTCTTGCTCAAGTTTCTAGTCCTTAAGATTGCAAAATACAACAGCTGGGGGAAAGGGGAGGTTGGAGAAGTGGAGAAAAATGTGCCAAAATGTGCCCCTGCTACAAAGAAATGTGTAAAAGGGGATGGGGGAACATTGCAGGCGGACCTTTGCTGGCAAGGTGATGTCTCTGCTTTTTAAGATGCTGTCTACATTTGTCATCGCTTTCCTCCCAAGAGGAAAGCTGACAGAACTACATCTTCCAGAACCCAACCATCCCCAGCCAGGATGATGAGAGTTGTAATGCACACACTACTCAACTAAATGTAAAATAAAAAGAGTCTGGAAAAGTTGATTTAGATTGCATCCCACTCCAACTCCCATGGGGCACCCGCTGGGGGATTTGGGGGGTTGTAGTGGAGGCAAAAAGAGGAACACTTAAAAAACTCCGACCGCCAGAAGTTTTGTTTGTTTGACTTCTTTTTTAAAAAAGAGTAACGTAGCCCTCCGACTGGGTTGGGCTACAGCTCCCATGATCCCCGCCCAGCGCGCCATGGGAGTTGTAGTCCAACTTAGCGGGAAGGACCGGGGCTGGTGAGAACTCAGAGGGAAAGGGGGAGAGAAACGGAGAATATTTGCAAGTGTGTTTTACTAAAATCCGGGACGAATTCCAAATTAACCCACTTTGGTAATTAAGGGCGGGTCTCATAAAGGAAGGGGGGGCCTTTCTGGCCCATTTTTTTAAGATGCCAAGGCAGCTTTCTGTTGCACGCAATTAGCTAATTATTGTGATGATTAAGATCCGGACGAAATCTGGGGGGGCTCCCCTTTTTAAAAAAAATCTCACCTTTTGCAGATCTGCGCGTTCAACCTCTGGATCGCTTTTCGTCCTGCTTTGCAAAATTTCAAATTCAGCCCCGCCCCTCCCTCGCCCTCTCCGGATTGGCTGACCGTTGCCCCGCCCCCTCGCTCTGATTGCACGGTGGGATTCTAAAAGGGGGGCCCGCCCGGGGCGGGGCTCGGCCTGGGCAGAGGCGCTCTGTACGTGCTCAGAGGCGCTCGCGCCTTCCCTTCTTTCTACGCACGTGAACTCGCAAGTGGATAACAATGCTTTCAAGCCTGCGGGGGTGGCGGAGTGGCACTCTGTACATGCTCAGAGGCCCTTTGCTTTCCTTGCTGCGTTCCCCCGAAGACCTGGACCGAGGAGTGTTTTTGACTTGTGTTTCTTGGTCATGACTGGAACCTCCTTTAATTCCGTATAATAAACATATCCAGAAGCATCTAAACATCTCACATAATTTTTTTAAAATGCTAACTTTAAATTGGACAGATCGAGTTTTAGATGTGTTGTGTTAAACAAAAACTTAGGTCTGTTTCAAGTAATTTTTATTTCTTTTAAGAATTTTGATTTAACATTTTATTCCCTCATTTTTCTGGAATAAACTGGAACATGTTTTCGGAAGAAAACATTATTAAACAGTGCATTAATGGACACCATTTCTTAAGAGCAAGATTTTTATTTAAATTTTCAGAAGGGTGACCTCAAAACAGCAGTGAAATCTTGAGTGCCAGAGGACTAACATTCAACAGAAACATTAATACGGAGAAATCTGGTGCGCACCCAGCCCACCACCTCTCTATAACCTTGAAAATGAGGTTTAAAGTACCCAAGAGGCAGTGTGGAGGAGTGGTTAGGGTCGGACTAGGAACTGGGAGGACTGAATCGCCATTGAGCTGGGAGGCATAATGTGCTCACTTGTGCAACACTGCAGGGCTGTAGTACAGAAAAGTATACATGAGAGGTCATGCTTGCTAACTTGAGCGGATTGGAGGAAAATCTGCAGGGAAATATTACAGATATCACGTTTTGTGGCGAACGCATCTTATAGAATCCTAGAATCATGGAGTTGCGGAGGTGGAAGGGGACTCGAAGGCCATTGAGTGCTCAGTGTAGGAATCCCAAACAAAGCAGATCAGACAGAGGGGGTGGCCCAATTTTCTCCAGCATTGGAGTGCTCACCACCTCCCAAGATCCCATTGTCGTACTGTTCGAACAGTCAGGAAGTTTTTCCTAATATTCAGCCTAAATCTGGCTTCCTGTCGCTCTAGCCCATTGTGACCTATTCTGCATGCTTGAGATGATCAAAAAAACATCCTGCCCCCACCTCTGTAGGACAGTCTTTCAAATATTTAAAAAGTGCTTTCCCATCTCCCCTCGGTCTTCTCCTCTTAAGGCTAAACCTGCCTAGTTATGGCATTTCCATCTTTCCTCCTAGGGCTTGGTTTCCAGTCTCCTGATCATCTTTTCTGCCCTCCTCTGAACGCCTTCCAGTTTGTCAGCATCCTTTTTTGAAGTGCAGTGTCCAGAACTGAACACAGAACTCAAAAGGATGCCTAACCGGTGCTAAATAGAGGACTAGACTTTGCAGGGTTTGGAGACTTGGTGTTTAGTCGTGTCTGATTCTTTGTGACCCCATGGACCAGAGCACGCCAGGCCCTCCTGTCTTCCCCTGCCCCCCCTGGAGTTGGGTCAAATTCGTGTTGGTCGCTTCGATGATCCTGTCCAGCCATCTCATCCTCTGTCGTCCCCTTCTCCTCTTGCCTTCACACTTTCCCAACATCAGGGGCTTTTCCAGGGAGTCCTCTCTTCTCATGAGATGGCCAAAGTATTGGAACCTCAGCTTCCGGATCTGTCCCTCCAGTGAGCACTCGGGGTTGATTTCCTTCAGAATGGATAGGTTTGTTCTCTTTGCACTCCAGGGGACTCTCAAGAGCCTCCTCCAGCACCACAATTCAGAAGCATCAGTTCTTCGGCGGTCAGCCTTCTTGATGGTCCAGCTCTCACTTCCATAAATTGCTACTGGAAAAACCATAGCTTTGACTAGGAGGACCTAGTCAAAGCTAGGCGAGGTCTCTGCTTTTTAAGATGCTGTCTAGGTTTGTCATCGCTTTCCTCCCAAGAAGCAGGCGTCTCCCAAGAAGCAGAGCCCAAGAAAGTAAACTCTGTCACTGCCTCCGTATCTTCCATTAATGCCTCCTAAAACAGCATTGGCCTTTCTTGCACCCACATCTTGAGCTCAGCAATTGGAGTTCTACAAGTGATACCTAGCAGCCTAGACAGCAAAGGTGTTTGGAAACACCACTGGGCCATATAATTAGATCCAGGCAGATCCTTTTAAAACGGCAACCAATAACTGCCCCGTTGCATGCCCCACAGTGAGCAGAGAAAAGCCTGCAACATTTAATTTTTCAGTGTGCAAAGGGGGGGGACCCCACAGCCCTTTCTGGGGACCAAGGCCGACGGTCGCCCTTTCAACTTTTTGAAACTTTTAAAGCAAGCCTCAACACCGAACTCTGAAGATGCCAAACAGGGCCTTACACAAACGAAGCCTTTATAGCTCGCTTTCTCGTCAAGCACCCTGGGCTCTGTTCCAGCGTCGTCTCGTTAAGTTCCCCCCTTTGGTGATAAGAGCCCAGAAACCTCCATATCATAACCTGAAAGTGTAATTCAAGCAATTTAATACGCACCACACCTTACCTTTCCTCGGAGATGCAAAGCGAACGGGTTCTTTATTGTGTTTGCCAAAGACGTTTACCAGCATTTGATTTTCCAGCCATAAACCCCAGATGTTCGGACAAGCGACATCCCGGTTTTCGGGAAGGAGGGACTCTCGTGTGAGAATCTGGCCTGTAAAAATATTTTACGGGCGCTTGACTGCTCGGAGAGACGGCAGAACACTTTGGGGGAGATGGCACACAAGAGAAAATTGGACCAGCCTCTGTCCGATCTGCTAGGTTTCGGGATTCCTGCACCGAGCACTCGATGGCCTTATAGGTCCCTTCCAACTCCATGATTCTGGGATTCTATAAGATCCGTTCCCCACAAAACGTGATATCCATAATTATATTTCCCTGCAGATTTTCCTCCAATCAGCTCAAGTCAGTAAGCATGATCTCTCATGTATACTTTTCTGAACAACAGCCCTGCAGTGTTGCATGACGCGTGAGCACATTATGCCTCCCAGTTCAATGGCGACTCAGTCCTCCCAGTTCCTGGTCCAACCCTAACCACTGCTCCACACTGCCTCTTACTTTGAAACCTCATTTCAAGGCTTACCACATTAAAAGACAGTATTTGAAACTCATGACAGTAAGTACTGTATAGGAATATTAAAAAAGGATCAAATAAATGGCATACTAAAAAAAAAGCAACGCCAAGACACATTTAAAACAAGGCACAGCCATTTATTTAAACACACACACATACATTCAGGCAGGCAGGCATGGAGGGAAAGCTTGCCTGGAGAGAAAGGTCTTCGCCTGCTTGCAGGAGAGCCAAGATGGGGGCCGGCTGGCCTCCAGTGGGAGGGAGTTCCACTGTCTGGGAGCAGTCACAGCGAAGGCCCTTCTCCAGCGTACTCACCAAATGCAACTGATCTTCTTTCACCCAGCAGCATCTCTGATCCCCATCTTCCCTCGTCACACCCACTCCAAGAACGGGGCACTGGGCTGCCCACCCTCACCCCATCCTGTCCTGACACGGGTTGGGGGAGAGAGAGGGAGCCTAGGGTCTCCCTCTTTCTGAGACCATTGCTTTTGGGAGCAGTCTTCCTTTCCTCAGGATTACAACTCCCAGCATCCCCAGCTGGCCCCACGGGAGAGTGATTTACAGTATTTGGTTTTGGGAGGGGGAAAGGGTGGGAGTTGAAGGAGATGAAACCAGCAGCTACATATAATAAGACCCGCGTACCTTAAGACAGACAGTGAAAGATGTTCAGTTGGTGACAGAGGTGACAAGCATTAAAGAACAGACGGGATTTAATAGGGCTTACAAATGTCATAACGCTATGACGTGAGATTTATTTACTAGAGAAAAAAGAATTGGGAGGGGGAAAGGGTGGGAGTTGAAGGAGATGAAACCAGCAGCTACATATAATAAGACCCGCGTACCTTAAGACAGACAGTGAAAGATGTTCAGTTGGTGACAGAGGTGACAAGCATTAAAGAACAGACGGGATTTAATAGGGCTTACAAATGTCATAACGCTATGACGTGAGATTTATTTACTAGAGAAAAAAGAACATAATACAACGTAACTCATAGGTCTTAGACATCAGGTTCAACAAATACCCAATGTCTAAGTACTATGAGTTATGTTGTATTTTACAGATGTTTATAAATAGTAAATGTTATTTAATGTTTTCACCAAAATACACCAGTGATTATTTACTATCCGTTCTTGGCCCAAACACAAATAAGGGAGAATATCAAATTTTACTCTACAAATTGGTTTCTTCTTGATACCTTTCAAGCTGCTGTGTGCAGACACTGCAAGGTTAGATGTTCTATATATTATAGCCCAAAGCTATGGCTTCCTTGAGGGAAGTCTGTCCATCTCGTATGTGGTCTTCCTCTTTCCCTGCTTCCTTCCACCTTTCCCCGCATTGTCGTAACTCAGAGACACACACACAAACACAACATACTTGCGTGCAGCCTCCCCTTCTGTTGTTTCTCCAGGCACACAACGTTGTTTGCAAACACACCCAAATAACTCAGAGACACACACACAAACACAACATACTTGCATGCAGCCTCCCCTTCTGTTGCTTCTCCAGGCACACAACGGTGTTTGCAAACACACCCAAACTCTTCCAGACCGGGAGCGATGGCCTCGGGAGATCTGGATATTCCATTTAATTTTCTTCAGAAAAATATGACACTCAATGCAGAAGCAAACGAAGCTGAGATCAGCTACAGCACAGAAATCTGGGTGTGTGTTTTTTGTGGAGAGGGGGGGGACAGGTATCTCTTCAATGCTGCTTTACTGAAACTCTCATGAATGATGGGAGTTAGAGTCCCACCACCAGAAAGTCACATTTTTCCCCTTCCCAAAATACATTGCACCCCAAGTTTAAGTCCAAACACCCTTTTCTGTTTCCCGTCCGAGAGGCGCTGAAGGTTGCCACCCGAGACACACCACAACCTGCAGATTAAAGGGTTAAAAGTGGACAGATGAGAAGGATCCAGAGAACAGAGGCTTGCTGTCTTTATGTTGATGACTAAGGGAAATCACACCATCAACATTTTTATTTGGTATTGACTTAAGGAGGGCTTTCAAGTCACTTCATTATATTTTCTTCTTATCTTTTCTCTGGAGCACAACAAGGTGTGTCTTTTCTTTGACCCACAAAAAGCACAATTCATTACAAATGTTAGGAACGGGGAAGAGGTTTTTGAAGGTAAGATTAGTGACCAAGAACCAGAAATGTCCCACCTTCAGATTATTCGTTGGCGATGTCAAAGCAACATTCTTAAAAAGAACCAAAGAATTAACCTGGGGGGAGTTAGACAAGACTGGGTTCAAGCTGATAAAAATACTGATCCTGTGTTCTCGGGAATCCCAAGAAAATTAAGTTTTTATTAACGAGGCCAATATTATGCTTTAAAGAAGATTTTAGAGTCCTCAGGCTCCAAACTGTGTTTCTCCAGATGGTTTGGATTAAAAAAACTCATACTGGCTATGCTTTCTGGGAATCAATGCAAGAAAAATCTGGCAGGTGAATCGTTCACCACCTCTGAATCAGAGATAAAAAGGAACAGCCAGTTTCCAAGACCACACTGACCTAGACAGAAAGACGCAGAAAAAAGGTGGAAGTGACGCCTACCGGAGTTATCTTGACTCAAAAAAGGAGACAAGTCCATTGCGTCCACCTGCCTTTAGGAAAAGCACGTCAATACCTGTGTCTTCTGATAGACTGAAACAAAACTTACCCACTAAAATAAAATCAAAGGAGAGACAGGCTTCCTAAATTTATATTATGATGATCAAAGTTGAGTTTTCTCTTTTTCTTTTTCCCCCTGACACCTAGTGTAAAAAAACTCGGAACTCCCCTAAAGCTATCTAGCGTGTGGTTCAAGAAAGTCCAGTTTCAAAGGCGGTCAGCACCCTGAGATGTCCTTTGTTCTGTTCTTGCGTTGAAACCGGGTGTCTGTTGGGTCAAACCCCCTTTCTTCTGCCCCGAAGACAGCCCAGGGCGGGGTGGGGGCCACGTAATCGGCCGCGGTGAACTTCTGGGCCCCGCCACTCTCTTCGTAGCGGCGGGCCAGATCCTGGAAGCGAGCGTAGTCAATCCAGGTGTGCCACACCCCGTGGATCTTGAACTGGGGAGGGGGAAAGAAAAGAAGGAAATGAGATGGGGGAACCAACACCACCACAGCAAATTTAAATTTAAAACAGGAAAACATAAAGGGGGAAAGTTGCAGGAAGAGGAAGAAGCCAAGAGGGGAAGAAATGGAAGGCAAAGTAAGTGTTTTTCCCCATCCAGAATCCTGCTGCAGACCTACAGTGGCATGAGTGGCACGGTGTAAATCAGAGCAGCAAACTGATGCTAATAAGAAGCCACCACTCGCATTCTTAGTCATGTGCCAAGTTGCTCTACAAGTACATGACTGGGAATACAAGCGGTCACTCTTTAATTAGCAGTAATCTGGTGCTGTGGTTTACACCTTTATACCCTAATGTCTAGGTTCTTAATCTGTGGTCCAGGGAACCCCCAGGGGGCACAATGTCCTTAGAGGAAGTCCACAAAGGCTTGAAGAAATATTGTTATCTTTGGCAGGATAGATAGCTAGATAGCTAGACAGACAGATAGAGAGAGACAGACAGACAGAGAGAGCGAGAGAGAGACAGACAAACAGACAGAGAGAGACAGACAGACAGACAGACAGACAGACAGACAAA